CACACAACACACGAGAAATCAACAGAAAATGTCACTTGATGAACAAAGGTAAGACGAAATCTATTTAAGAACAAAGGCCTCTGCTGTTTATGACTGTGCAACTGCATGCAACCGAGGATAGGAGGGGCCAGTAGAGGAGACCGCTGCCTGGTACTGAGGATCATACCGCTCAAAGCATGGATCAGGCACGTGATCCGAGTAGGGGGGCCAGCAAGAACAAACAAAATGCCTCCAATTTCCACTGCAATGGGACAGGACTTTCCGGTGAAGGAGCATCAGAAGATGGAGGTTGTTTGGGAATTGACCGTGAGGAACACGGAGGAATTGGGGGCTCATATCAGCCCAACTATATTTGCTTAGTACTGCTCCTGAGCATCGGCGGAAGCTGGTTATCGCAGTTGGGACACAATACGGAGTAGTAGGTGTCTTAGAATGTGGCACAAATAATTCCGAGCAGATTTCACATATGCAAGGGACGCTTTTCAGTGACTCATGTTTTGACCCGTGAAAGAAGAGGGGTAAAAGCGTGTCAAGGTGATTGAAATAATTTATACGAAAACCAGTCCGAGACCAATGAGATTCAAGATTTGAACCGCCATATATGATTGTGGAAGGATGTAAAAGAAGCAATCAACACGTGCTTAACGAAGGCATGCATTCGAATAATAAGGTGTCAAAGTTCTAGCAAATCAGCTGATTATTACGAAGGAATTTTGTGGGACTAATGAACATCAACCAACCATGCACCAGGAACTTCTAAGCTAACTCAGTGACTGCAACCGTAGAGAAACAAGAACTTCTAAGCTAAAAAATTCCCAGGAAACATTGGTATATATCAATCATGCATTGCTGGTGAAAAAAAAAAATCCCAGCAAGGCGCTTGAGTCGAAAAAAGAAAATCGATGGTGGATAGGTTCGCAAGCCTTTCTTCTTCTCCTGCTGCTCCCAGTAAAATACGATCACGATCAGGGACTTCACGTAGCTTATTCATTTCAGGTCTCCAAAGCCCGACAGGGTGTGGTTTCTTCCCCCAGAGCCTTGGCGGTCCTTTCCCAAAGTCCAGCCTTTTCTGTGTCTATTTTTGGCAAATCACTAGTACTAGTATTTGTGAAGTTACTAGTACTTATTTCTAGTCTTTCCGCAATTGGACAGCACGGAGCCCAGATGCACAGGCATGAATTCGGATATTCACGCACTTTCACAACTGTGGGCAACAGCCCTGCCCTGATTGTGATGATGGGCTGCAGGCGCATGGCCATGGCAATGGAATTGTAGGGCGTAAATAACAATAATAATAGCATCGCCAACTGGACTATCCGTTTTAGACCCACTTCCCAAGTCCAAGTCCGTGCACTCCAGGGCGGGCTGGTGTATCGCTGTCATGTGCCAAAGTCCGACGACTGGTGGGCTGACTGGCTCGACAAGTCCCACACGTGCAGCGCGGTGCTAGCACAAATTATTCTTCTTATTGCAATTGGTGGACAGGTCGACATCAACGCGTAGCAATCAATTCAATAATAAATTGATTACACTAATGATTTTGTTCAATTATCACTCCAACTTCTCATTGAACATTCTTTTGATCATGTTTACCTCTAAATAGATTAGTATTAAGCCACGCCATCGGTTGCCATAGTCAAATAAATTTTGCCAAACAAGTCCACATCCTTTGTAGAAAAATTTAATAATAGCAATAAGTTTTTATGTTTACATTTTTTTTTGGTTTTAAGCAAATGTACGTCATCTGCCTCTGCCCCAATTCAAAATCTAGAATGAAATACACGTGTATTATAGTGTTTAGATTGCTCCCGGAAAGCTATTTTTCTCTAATTTTTTTTTATTTTTTCATAAATATATTTTTCAATCACCATTTTACCTTACATACATCAAATCGTTTAAATATAATTTTCTATAAAAATTTCAAAAAATAGCAATCCAAGTAAGTGTTTTAGGATACTTAGTGTTATTAGTTTTGATTAAATTTTGTTTTCGGCTTTAAATACTAGAACTAGATTATCTCAAACAATTGCGCATACGTCACGGCAAATATTTGAATGTGTGGAAATTTTAGCTGTTTCACCCGCTGCTGCTGGTCAAGGTTTTCTTTGTATTTTTCCCTTTTAGGAACCAAAGTCAACATTGTAGTGGTGTCGCCAATAGAACATTGCTTAGCGTTGCACGTAAATGTGAACCTTTAATCTTATAGCTAAATCCTAGAACCTTTTTCTAATGTCAGACCTGCTCCTGAACTAGTCATTTGGCTTTTCTTCAACAAAAAAAAAAAAAAAAACTAGTCATTTCCATGGTTGACCAGTCACAGTCAACGATCGCTTCTTCTTTTTTATTAAATTTTTTTTTTGTTAACTTAAGTGCAACGATCACTTATTTATCCTCATTTTACGACTTTAACTTTTTGGTTGTATACGAATACATTAAAAAATATTACTTACCAAAATAAAATCATAATTATTCGTTCTATAGCGATTTCATTGACAGAAATTTTGTTGAATGATTTACCTTCTCACAAGTTTAGAAGGGACAAATGAATTTTCGATACACTTGTCGAATTCGACCTCTTGCAGCAAACAACTACTGTGTGGTAGAACTCGTCTGGCATAATTATGCTTGTCCATCGCTCGTAGCACTAATAGCTAGTTTGGGAATCGAGGACAGAAAAGAAAAGAAGAGAAAGGTTAAAAGTTACGAGAGAAAAAAAGAGAAGATATTTTAATACTGTTTGGGAGTTTATGAAAGAAATGAGATGATTTTGTATACATTAGTCAATAAATTTTTCATTTAATAGCTTTTCAAGAGTAGAATGGATAATTTTAAATTTTTTTTCTAAATTTTTTGCAGCGTCCCGTTTGCTTTTTGCCCGATTCGGGACGATTTTTTTTTAAAAAAAAAAATTTGTAACTCCTCTCAAATAAGTCCAATTCTTTTATTTTTTATTTCACTAAAACTTTCAAATATCAGAGACACCTAACTTTCTATTCCCTTCTTTTTTTTCTTTTTTGCTCAAATCTCATCTCCCAAACTAGCCATAAGATGAAGCTTGATTTGCATATAAAAAAAAAAAACTCAAATTTGAGGATCCAAGGAGGTTGCTGATTTTGCTAATGGAATACAGGTATGTTAATAATTCAAAGCAAAGTTGTAAACAGACAATCCAACAACCCCAAAGCCTCCAAAATGACACTTGCAAAAATGGCCAGATGCAGTCAAAGAGAAAACTCAACACATCCCTTCAAATAACAAAGCCAAAAGCAGAATAAAAGGAAAACAAAGAAAAAGTAAAACTAACCCCGGGGCTTCATGTCTGCATCAATTGTCTTTTTTTTTCTCATTCTTCTGTTCCTTCCTTTCCTCATAGTCATAGACGGCGGGGGTCCACTCGTCCTCTCGTGCGTGCAACTTTGACCCCCACTTTTAAGTAAAAACTACTCTTCCTTCCGTATTTCGGCCGCTCTTACCTGTCCCCGTCCTCGCTCCTCTCCCTCTCAATTTTGTCCATCCTTGTCGTACTTTCTTGCCTCAAACAAAAACCTAAAGTATTACTTTGACCCCAAAAAAACCTCAAGTATTAGCCTCTTTATAGCGCTCTTTTGCTCTCATTTCGTATAATTATTTAAAGAAATACCTTGCTCTAAACGATATACATCTAATACTATACACGTACACATACTAAAAGATGGCCCATATTCTAATTCGAATATTTAAGATTCTTCTTATTTATTAGTATATCTATCAACGTATCATATAGTTTTTAACATCCTTTAATGTAGGTGAACTTTTATTTAAATTAAGGGTTTTAATTTGTACACTTTTTTTTTTTTTAAATTTTTTCTAAGAGGAAAGGGCGAGATTTCTGAGATAAAGGAAAAGTGGGATTTAAGAATCGGGAGTGGAACGGGGGGTTTAATTATTAGTATTTTTTATCCTCTCTCTTAATTCGTAAACTCTTTTGTAAATCATGATGACAAACACGTCCAAATTGTTTTGTTCTTCTCTTGATAATTGCATCCATGTAACTATTTAGTTTACGAGCACTTGCACTTTAGCTACAAATGAAAACTTGCCGATAAAAAATAAGCGACGCATGTGTAGAGGCAAAGAGGGATTGTCTTCAATTACATACCCTTAAAGAGAGGGATTTTATTTGGCATTATAAAGGGTGTGTAACAGTGCAATGAGTTACCGTAAAAAGTAATGAAAGCTAGTCGATATAAATATTTAGATTAAAAAAGTAAAATATTTTGGCGAAAATCCGTGCAATTGGAGGTGATAAAAATCTTTAGAAATTTTTTAATTATTCTCTGCTACCAAAACTAGGGGATGGAAATGACTTAAACTTAATCGAATAATTCGCGAGCTTATTAAGTTAAAGCTCGAGTTCTAGCAACTTGAACTACTTAACGAGTTGAGTTCGAAATTAATATACGAGGTATGAAAGCTCGTCCAGTTTATTCAGGTTCGATCGAGTTTCACACACACACACACATATAATTTTTTTTTTATTAGTATGAAATTTCAACTTTGTTCCCTGTGTAAAATTATATGAAAAAATATATTTATATTTCTTAAACTCGATTAGGCTTGAAACAAATTTGACTGGTTTCGATGAGCAAGAATTTGAGTTCGAGTAATGCAAAATAAGATGCACTTCGATATCGAACTCGACTTTCAAGTGCTCGATGACTTTGAACTCAAGTTCAAGGTTTAATCCAAGTTTTTTAGCTCAAGTCGAAATTGAACAGTGCATTATTCGAAATCGGGTCGATTCTACTGTGCCTCTGCTCAAAACCAAAGAAAAGAACGCATATTCAGAAAGAAAATACAAAAAATTGGATACGAAGAGAGATAACAGAATGATGTTGAGTGAAGTAGTAATAATTTAAGCACACACATATTCAAATCATTAAATACAACTGGGGCACACTCAAGAAAATGTAGAATAGAAACTACACAGCAAGGAAGTCTGAAAACAGAACTTTTGACCAACTCAACTCCATAGTCCATTCCACTCCTCCGCCCCCTGTGCATTCCACTCCTCCCCTTTCGTTTTCTCTAATATTTAATTCCAATTTTTTTTTTGGTCCCATTCTTTCCCTTCAAAGCTTCTGCTCAACCCAGTTTAAAACTAAATTTAAACATCATTATTAACCTAACAACTTCATTTTGTATTCAGTTACTGGTTTCCTATTGCTCAAAGTTGCTGCTGACTTTTTTTTTGCTTTTTTTTTTTTTTCAATTTTTTAAAAACATTTACTTCCCTCTGTTAATTTCCTTGGTGTTGGATGAGGAGAAAGGGGCCAGAATTTTCTTCTTCTCAGCTCAGCAAAAAAGTAGTGCTAATAAAAATCAATTAGAAGCAAAAGCAGCTAGGGTTTTGACTTTGGTTGTCAAGTCTTCTTGGTAGGTGCTTCGTTTGATTAACGGGGCATTTTGATAATATTGGTGGTTTTGCGATGAGAATTTTGAATCTACGCTTTTAGCAAGTGTTGCCGTGAACTTGATGGATCGCTCGGTGGTCTCCGCGATCTCAGCTTCGGCTTTTATCTCCTTTCTTTTGCTCTTTCTCCGATTCTTGCGCGTCTCCGGTAACGCCGAAGGTCTGTTGTCTGTCTTTTTTAGTATTAGTTTTTGTTGTTTAATTATCTTTTCTGGGTTTACTTACTAGCATCCATGAATGATGGAGCTGGTGACGGCGAGTGCTAGTTGACTTAAATTGTAATTTGGTTTTGGCTAGGATAATTAATTTTTTTAGTGGATTTTTTTGTGAATTGAGTTAAGAAACTTGTTTGGACTGTCGTAGCATCAGAATTCATTTGCATGTGTACTGGTGGATAGTTGTTGATTATGAAGTAGTGCCACGGGATGAATTTGGCATGATATATTGTTGTCGATACATGAAAGTTTTAATTTTTTTGGGTATATGTGGCACTTATCGTCCTTTTTTTAAAACAAAAAAAAAATTGGAATCGACTAGTTGGGCTATTCTCTAGTTATATTGTTGCGTTATCCAGAAATGAAGATATGTTAAGAGTTAGCATTAGCTAGTTGAAGTGTGAAAATTGGTAATTGTTATCTGAATCTTTTATGCAAGACAGGTGATGCATTGAATGCGCTGAAGACCAATTTAGCTGATCCTAATAATGTTCTGCAAAGTTGGGATCCAACCCTCGTCAATCCCTGCACTTGGTTTCACGTCACCTGTAACAGTGATAACAGTGTTACCAGGGTGTAAGCTCCTTATGCCTTGTATAGAAATGGGGCTGTACAATGTACTGTGTAATTGTGCTTTACATTTTACTCTGGAGTTTAGAGAACTGATGGAATGTGTATTTGTATTGCTTCTTCCTCTCAGTGATCTGGGAAATGCAAATTTGTCTGGCCAACTTGTTCCACAGCTCGGTCTGCTCCCAAATCTGCAGTACTTGTAAGTTAACTCTTTTGGATCAGAATTCTTTGCATGGAGTACTTTCAAGACCTTCTGTTGGAAGTTCACTGCATGGTACTATTAAACTTTGATATGCTTGAACTTGTCAAACATCTTGATATGTTTGAGTTACTGAAAAGTTAGGCTCCATGAAGAGCAAAGAGGCAGATTATGTATATCTCTGCATTTCTCTTCCTGTAAAGATTTGTGCTTAGCCATGGCTTGCAATTTTTATTGATGATTAATCATGGATACCTGGCAAGTTTCCATTGGATTATAGGCTTTAGCCATGCTCTAGATGTGATAGGTTTGTTCTTTTTTATTTTCTTGCTATAACTTATCCTGCTTGTCGGTGTTTCTTATGATCAATGCTTGTTAATATCTTTTTGGGTTTTTTTGTTTGTTTCTTTCTGGGCAGGGAACTCTATAGTAACAACATTAGCGGAAGAATTCCCAATGAGCTGGGGAACTTGACAAACTTAGTGAGCTTGGATCTTTACTTAAACAGCTTGAATGGTCCCATACCAGACACGTTGGGAAAACTTCAGAAATTACGTTTCCTGTATGAGTTGCTCTTATCGTTTTCTTTAATTTCTTCTCGAACTATATTTAAGTCTCGTGCTGTGGTATGATGTTGGATTCATGTAGAGCATAGAAGTTCCAGGATGGACTCTTTTGTTTTTTGTTTGTATTGTGGTACAAATAGTTACTTATGCTGAGCAACCAGGTAATGGGCGAGGGAGAGAAAGGGGTCCATTTAATCCACATTTGAAACACTTAAAAAACATAGCAGACAAAGTCTGCTCTATAGACTAAAAAATGCCATAATAACACGTACCAAAATCCTAATAGAGTTCTCTATTTTGGAACTGTCAAGACCTGTGTGATGCAAAATGCACCAGAATTGTTTTCCATTTTTATATTTTTGTATGATATGGAAAATTTCATCACATCCTGTAGTTGTGAATTAGCTATTTGATGTATAAATTGTGTATTTAGGCAAGTATACTCTGACGAGTTTTGACTGTCTAAAACAGTTCAACTGTGAACCAATAAAGATTTTCTTATGTTATTGCTGTACCATTGTTTTAACTGAATTAATGCTGATTTTATTTGTCTTGTGCGCTGAACAGGCGTCTAAATAATAATACCTTGACTGGACATATTCCTATGACCCTAACCACTGTCCAGACACTTCAAGTCCTGTAAGTTGGAAAATTGATGCCTTATTTTCTTCAGTTTTCTTTTGCTAAGCGTGAATTGTAATCCTTGCTGTGTTTTGCTTTTACTCTTTATTCAACTTCTCTTTTGAGTTGGTATACTGTAGTATTACCTGACTAATATTATTACTTCTTATTGTAATAAATAGTACTAATACTGGGTTTACTTTTCTCCTCTCACATTGATTGCACTGTAAAATGCAGAGATCTGTCGAATAACCAGTTGACAGGCCAAATTCCTGTCAATGGATCCTTTTCACTTTTTACTCCTATCAGGTTCTTTCTCGAGTTCATATGTTTGGACTTTGGTTACCGATTGAGGTATTTTGCTGACTACTTCTGTTCATGTTTTGCAGTTTTCAAAACAATCATTTGGATCCTCTCCCTGTCTCTCCACCACCTCCAATTTCACCAACTCCATCAGCTCGAGGTCTTTTCTTGCTTATTTGCTTGTCATCATTAGATTTCTACTGCTCTTCATGATTTCCTTCCTACTTTCCCTGCTACTTTTTTCCAATAATCACACTTGATATTAGTTTGTCTTGAAAGAGTAGGAATTAAAACTGCTACAAACATTCCACCCTCAGTGTTAACATGTTTTGTTGCATGATCTTATAGTTTAGATAAATTTGGTCATTTGCATGTTTTCCTGAAGAGAGTAGTATATTTGATGAGTGATTTTATTGGTTTTCAAGTCGCTTATGTATTGAATACCTGTCATTTGGCTTTCCAGGCACCAATAGTGCTACAGGCGCCATTGCTGGAGGAGTTGCTGCAGGTGCTGCTCTTCTTTTTGCTGCGCCTGCAATTTTACTTGCTTGGTGGCGCAGAAGGAAACCACAAGATCATTTTTTTGATGTTCCTGGTTAGTGTATCTAGAGCCTGACTTAGACCAATCATCATAGTGTTCCATTTAGTGCTCACTCACCACAGAGATCCTCAGTAATTTGGTTTCCCATTTGTTCAATGGTTCTCATTTGATTGACTTCTGTGCAGCTGAGGAGGACCCAGAAGTTCATCTAGGGCAGTTGAAACGATTTTCTCTACGTGAATTGCAAGTTGCCACTGATAGTTTCAGCAACAAAAATATTCTTGGTAGAGGTGGTTTTGGTAAGGTTTACAAAGGCCGATTAGCTGATGGATCTCTAGTGGCAGTTAAAAGACTGAAAGAGGAGCGCACTCAAGGTGGAGAGTTGCAGTTTCAAACAGAAGTGGAGATGATCAGTATGGCTGTCCATCGAAATCTACTTCGTCTACGTGGCTTTTGCATGACACCAACAGAACGGTTGCTTGTTTATCCTTACATGGCGAATGGCAGTGTTGCATCCTGTTTAAGAGGTAAAGGCCATTAAATTGTTCATGGGGTTTAGTCACTAATAACGGTCAAAATTTTAAGTTCTCTTTCTTCATTAAGTTCATAGATGTTTATATATACCATGATACTGTTTGGTATGATTTACTTTAAGAAGATAGTCATCATTCATTGGTCAAGTATTATAGTTAGATGTTTGCCTCAACATGGAGACTCACTGCATTGGGTGTCTGCCCCAGCGAGGGCACATTGTGCCTGCCTTCGGGTGTTTTGGGCAAGTCGTTGCATTGATAGCTGCTAACAGGTACTTTATTGCCATGGGTGTTTGACCCACCATGGGCATGTTGCTGCCTCTGATGTTTGCTTTGCCCAACATATGAATGTTGCTGCCTAGGTGCTATAGGATGCATATCGGGATATTTAATTGCCTGATGGGTGCAACATTTTTCTAAGACAGCCGCAGATGTTTGCCATGGCAAGACCATTGTAGTTAATAGTTTTTGGTCAAAAAGCAGAATACATCTTTTATTAATAAAGATTTAAATGGATTTCTTTTAAACACTTAAAATTGTTTTACCCTTTTTGGAAAGAAGGGGGTTGCGGGGGTTGTGGGGAAGCATACCTAAGGAGTTGAAATTTCACTTACGTTGATACCAACTCTCAAACATCTTTAGCATCTTATTTTTAGAGCTTTAACTACTATTATAGGGATTGTTCTCGGTTGTACTTAGGCAATTGATAATTCTTGTAGAGCGCCCTGAAAGTGAACCCCCTCTTGATTGGCCAATAAGGAAGCGTATTTCATTGGGATCTGCCAGGGGACTTGCTTATTTGCATGATCATTGTGATCCCAAGATTATTCACCGGGATGTAAAAGCTGCAAATATATTGTTAGATGAGGAGTTTGAAGCCGTTGTTGGAGACTTTGGGTTGGCTAAGCTTATGGACTACAAGGACACCCATGTCACCACTGCTGTACGTGGTACAATTGGTCATATTGCCCCAGAATACCTTTCCACTGGCAAGTCTTCAGAGAAGACTGATGTTTTTGGGTATGGTGTCATGCTTCTTGAGCTTATCACTGGGCAGAGAGCTTTTGATCTTGCACGTCTCGCGAATGATGATGATGTCATGTTGCTTGATTGGGTAAGTGTATATTGCTCTGTCATGTTTTCCTTTTAACTCTTTAGTTTACTTTGTATTTCTCACTTAATCTTGAGAATTTTAGGAATCATTTTATGTTTCATGAATGTTGAACGTAGACCTGAAAGAATGACACTTATTTGTTGCAGCGTAACTCAATGAAAATTTTTTTGTGATCATGTCTCTAGGGTATTATGACTAATTTTAATTTGAACGGAGGTAGGATATAAGCGAGTTGGGCTTGTTTACCAAAATGGTAACATGTTTTAAGGGCAAGACTTCAAAAAAATGCTGAAGATTTTTTCTGAAATGGTATTCTCTGTGATAGTAGAGAATGGTGAATTTACTGAAGCTTCCACTCTTCCAGAAGCTTGGCTGGTCTCCTATTACATGATTCATTTGCATGGGGGTTTGGAATTTCTCATTTGTCATGATTATCAAGTCTTATTGAGTTCTGGCTGGTTACCAAGCATCTGACTGCTTAGTTCTTTTACTGTGCACATCTTGTTTTCCTCAGAAAAGATCCAGAGAAGAAAATGTGTGTGTGTGTTTTTTTTAATCCTTGAATGGATCAAATCATAAATTGTAAAATCTCTGTACCTTCCCTCCTCTCTCTCTCTTTTTGACAAACACACAGTACACACCAATAATAAGAGCAATGTGATAGAACTGAGAAGTAGCAATTTGCCTTTTACCTGGAAGTATGGTTTCATGACTGAATGCTAATTGTTATCAACATCACTTTTCTGACATTTCTGGCCCCATATAATCAATTCCTCCCGATCATTTTAGCTATTGTGATGGTCCTAACTAAATCACCATTTGTAGTTACCTCTACAGTACTTGTGTATTTGTACATCCAGGGTTTGATTTTTCTGAAATGTTCTTTCAGGTTAAAGGACTTCTGAGGGAGAAAAAATTGGAAACACTAGTGGATGCAGATCTTCAGGGTAACTATGTCGAAGATGAGGTGGAACAACTAATTCAGGTAGCTCTGCTCTGCACACAGAGTTCCCCTACAGAGCGTCCCAAAATGTCAGAAGTTGTCAGAATGCTTGAAGGTGATGGTTTGGCTGAGAGATGGGAAGAGTGGCAGAAGGAGGAGATGTTCCGACAGGATTTCAACCATACACACCATCCAAATACTGATTGGATCATTGCTGATTCCACATCAAACCTCCGACCAGATGAACTGTCTGGGCCTAGATGAAATCAAGACATTTATGCCTTGTGTGATACGACTGCATAGGAGTTTAATTTGTATTTGAGAAAAGATATAGTCTGTTATCTTTGTGCATATCTTTTTCTGCCCCCCATAATTTTTGCTGTTTTCTATATTTAACTTTTTCCGGTGTCAAATTTGTATCATGTAATAGGAATTTTTGACGACAGTAACATTGTCTATAGGTTGCCAGCTGACGTTACGGTGTTTTGGTGCAAGTGAACACATGCCAGGTATCTCTATGAGAGCACCAATTGTACTTTACTTTTTACATTGGATAGTGGAGCTTGTCAATTAAATAAACACCTTACAAAAATCGCAGTTTCGAATTTTCTGCTCGTGTAAACATCTCGTTTCGTTCGTTTTGAGGATGTTCCTAAAAGTGGTCCTTGCTCTTTTACAGATGAAGAAAAAAAAAAAAACCTCATTCTAACAAGCTGAAGCTTCAAGCATTAGGCTTTAATCGTATAATCTAGAACTAAACTAACACACTGTATACGAGGTTGCAGTCTGGAAATCAAGAAGCCTCTTTAAGCAATTGGTGAATATAGTTTAAAACCCTTCTGATTTTATGCATGTCCAGGTGGTTTTTTCCTTTCTTTTTCTGAACTTCCCTTTGAAGATGTAAACTGGCATTTAATGAAGTAGGAAGCCTACCGCAAATCAAACACATTGAGAAAAGAGACGCTTTTTTTTAAAAAAAAAAAAAAATTTTTTTTCTTAGGGTAGAAGATAAAAATCCTTTTCTTCTGAGCACTACCAATAAAGCTGCTAAACGAAACAAGTCGAATTGTCGAGGAGCCAGGCTCTTGTAAAGGACCACTTGTGTACATCATCTTGAGCGGCCTCGACGTCGAACCCAAAACAAATGCTAAAAGTAAAAGGGACGGAACAAGAGACAAAATGTAGACCATTCTTGTTCCGTTACTTCTGCCCCCATCTTTGTTTTGTTCCAAATTTGCAGGAGTTTCAAGGCAACTGTAAATTCTGCTTTTGCCTGTGTTGTCAAAACCAAAATCATGGCAACCAGCCAGGACGCTGTTGCTATGGTTGCTACCGCTAGTGAAATTCAAATTCCTAGTAACGAATTAAACTGGATCTAATGAATTAATGCTGCTCTTAAACACGAAAAGCCTCTATAAAGACGGAAGAAGTGGAATCATTCTAAGAACTATATAATAAGGGCGATATTTGATGCACCCCAACTCAAAACAACAAGAGTAAATGGCAAATGCCAATCTGGAAAGGGGACACTTGAAAACGCCATATCAAGGGAATGCAAAAATTTAACTAACAAGAAACATAGGCGCTCAAAGCAAAAAGACACTCCTATTTTGATAGAATATCATGTACAGAACAAAATGTATATTCTTCATCTATGATAATGACTACCCGCTTCACTTTCTTCCAGTGGAAATTCTTGGCTTGCCTTTAATCTCACTTTCCTGCAAAAGAGCAGGAGCACGAATGGCTTTCAGTTAGCAGACAGGATCTCACGTATATCTTATTGAACTAACTAAATTGCAAATGTGGGGGCAAAAAGGGTAGCTTACCTGTACTGAGTGCAGAAGTATGTAGGTCTTTGCAGTTGCTGGATTGTGATTTTCAGCGCCCTTGCTCCAGTCATAACATACCTGCATTACAAAGACCAAAAATATTGATCATTGACATAGTTTTACACTGCAAATAACATAAACCCATGAAGCTACAAGAACTAAGTATATATTGTTGGATAACATCCAATGCCAACTACTTGAAGAACAATTTCTCTACTCCAATACCTTCTCTAGAACTCCGTGATACAAGTTCAAATCTAAAGATTCTAGAATTAAGTATTGCTAGCATAAAACAGATGATCCCAAAATAAAATGCTCATAATATTTCCTTTTTTCTTTTTCTTTTTTTTCCTTTCCACTTCTTTCTTCCCCTCACACGGGTTTTTTTTTTGGTGGGGGGTTTTTGTGGGGGGGGGGGGGAGAACCTGGGGCAGCGGGTGTTGGGCGGAAGAACAAGCTTTATCACAAGGTAATAACACCAATTTTCTAGAACACAATCTAACGAAAGTAAAGTAAGTCGTACCGAATATGCAAATATTGAACCATCACTGTTGAATGTGCTGCAAGGAATGGGTTGGCTGCACCTCGACATAGCCTAACCAGTAAACAAAATAGTAAGTACAAAAATCCCATAACATAGGATAAGCAGAACAATGAAAATGGGAAAGAATAAGAGGTTGGGAATGTTCCACAACAAAAAATAGAAAATATAGCCAATTTTAATTTTCATTTGAAAAAGGAGACTAAAAAGAGGGAAAGTTAATTTAAAAAATCATACTATCATATGATTCTCAAATGAAATTCAGACAGCAGCATGGAAAAACCCAGTAAGGCCTAGCATGTGTTCAATTTTCCCCAAGCTTTGATATGAGGAACTAGAAAAACTAAACCCATGAAAGACTTGTCTTATAAATTTATGACAACTGAGATTGTACTCAAGATCTTTTAGGAAAAATCTCATCCACTCCCTTGCATCAATAAGCCTGAGGAATAGTTAGGAAAAACACTAGCTGTCAAATACAGAAAATCTCTTAATAACTCCAGTGGAACTGACTATAAGCATACATTGGAATAAAAAGGGCAAATAACCTTAGTGGCCATTGAACTATTGCTTGCGTCAACTTTTGACCATCAAACAATTTTTCATCATTATTTGGCCACTAAATTGACTAATTAGTACAACCATGGCCATTTCGTGGATTTTGGCTCTTAATCTACAAAAAATCAGAATGCTTAAGAGGTTTTTTGTCCACCACTAAGTGTTAATTATATTGGATGAACTCTGGAGTTGGTAAAAATACCACCTGCGCTAATCTTGAAGAACTGCAAGAAATAGGATCTGATACATTTAGTACTGGAGTTATTTTGCTGGAATTCAATGGAGCAAGGGTATAGGGTCGAATTAGTGGTGGACAGAAATACCCTTGGATGTTCTGATTGTTTTGTAGAGTAAGAGCAAAAATTCATGAAATGGCCACGGTTGTGCTGATTAGTTAGTTTAGTGGCCAATTTATGATGAAAATTTGTTCGATGATCAAAAGTCGACGCATGTTATAGTTTAATGATCGGTAAGTTTTTTGCCGGAAAGAAAAATACCTTAAGCCTCTGTTTGCTATCCTTGTCCCAGAAGTTGAAGGCACCATCAGAACCAGCAGTTGCAAATGTATGATGGACCTGAGACAAAGGAATGTCAGATCTTGCAAGGGAGAAGAGCCAAACTGGAAAAATGTATGGCACTCAATCGCATATAGGTGCACAGCATTAGGGATCTGTAATTCGCATAAGATGATAAAATGACTGTTTAACAAGTTTTAAGATGCAGACAACTGATTCCAAACGGACCATGTGAGTTTAAAATCCAGTAAAGATAAAAACAAAGGTAAGTTTCTGAAACCCTTTTCTGCTTTCAAACATGAAATGAACAAAATAAACATGACCTGAGCCAATTCTACAAGCCCAAATCAGGCTGTGCTCACCTTGATCAAGTGTTACAGATTACAGGTTCATCACCAAGATCTTTTCTTGTTTCTGAGCAAAGAATTTACTGGCAAGGGGAAGCTAATGAACACAACATGTCAATCAATTGATCCAAGGAATAAGAGATTTTCCTTTCGATTCTTTTGGACAACTTTATCCATTTAACCAAATTATTGATAAAGAAGAGCGCAGTATAGAACCAAGAAGTCACCAGTTCAGGGAGATTAAATAAGTTATCAACATCAGAAATTCATGGCCAAACATGTCAGGGAACTACAAATATGGATGAGGTTTTCATTATGTATTCAACTAATCCAAATAATTGTAATCAATCAAGAATTATGTGTCAGGTAAAGAACCCCATAATGCAAACATTATGAATGCAGAAAAAAATCTACTACAAAATTACTATTACTTCGTTTGAACCTCTGAAGACTACATTCAACATCCAACTGACAAAAGATTTCGATGTATAGTAGCTACATCTTCATCTCCATGAAAGTTTGAAGAGAAGTTGGCTTACTAAACAACCAAATAAAAAAGGAACAATTAAAATCAGATGAAAAGTTCTTACAGGGTGAAAGTTCAGCGAATTGACAGAATAAATCTCGTTGCCCTCTCTGTGGCACTTGAAGGTGAAATTTTTTTGCTGTTGTGCATCATCAAGATGATGAACTCCAACCCTGCCTTCTATGGAGCCAACCTGGACAGCAACAATGCCACAGATAACATCATTAACAAAATTCACAAGAAATAAGAACTAGAAATAAGTTCATTAAAATAATACTAATTGAAAAGCACCCCCAAGCTTTTTCTCAAAAATTTCAGTACGACACAATTTTGTTTTCATCACTGAGAAAATGTCAAGTGAAGCTAAGAAAGATTACCATTGGATGAGCAGAAAACTCATCAATGATTGTTCAAAAGACTACTAGAACAAAAAATTTACTTACCAGAAAACCTTGCTGATCAGGAAAGGCAGCTAAACACCTCGTCTGGTACTTTAGCGGCGAAATGATTCTCTTGAACTCTGTCTGCAGTTGCAAATAAACTATATTGACTTTTTCTCAACACCATAAACAACAAATTCAAAATGTTAGCAGTCTACTTTTCATTGAAAAGCAACATTTCAGTGGAAAAGGATAGAGAAAGTTACAATCAAGTTGTCTATAATATAATTATGCAATCATACAAGTCCTAAGCAACTACCACGACAACAGCAGACACGAGAGCATATGAAATTGCAACCCCACTTCTACCTTCTTTTATGAAAACACTTAACTGTCAGTTTTGGTTGAGAAGTTGCATAGGGTTCCAAGCCACAATGTAGACTATAACAGCTTTACGAAGTTAATTCTGCCATGTGACACCCAAACCGAAGAAAAAGAAAACTTTGTGAAGAATAAAGAAAACCATTAAGTACTACCAACCAATTAAGCTGAAGCCTAATTTGTTATACATACATATAAACACTACCCATGCACAAAGCTTCGAAAAAATGCCAAAGCAGTGAATTCAATTATAACTAACTTGCAGAAGCCACCACTGATAGAAGAAGAAATACATGAATCATTAACTATATGTCTGGACAAAGTAGGGATTTCTTCCTCGACAAGGGAGAGAAGGGAAACAGTGAAATCAAAGATTTCATTATTGGATTCAAAGATTTGGAAGCAGTTCAACCACTGACAGGTTGGTACTATTTCTCATACCAATTCGAAAGTAGTTTACAGCCAGATAAACTTCTCCCTTACATGATCACTGGTGATAGAAAAAAGATAGAGCAAAATGTTTTACATCTAACATCAATTTAAAGCTGGGTTTCTGCTTGCAAAGTTGGTCAATTCTGGGGGGAAACAATACAAATCTTCAAGGTCGAAGCCTGTTATAAAATATTCTGATACAGAGTCATCGTAACTGAAGCTCAAACCACTTTGGCCAGTCATATAAATCTTTTCTTTTCCTCCTGATAAAATTTTTGACTCCACCTCCCCCCAACGTCAGGAGATTCAAGAAGTTCATACATCATAAGCATCCTTTGTCACTGAGTGGCAGTCCTCAACATTCTAATAGGGGACTACCTCAATACATAGACAACAAATAGACTTCAAACTTTGACTCAATATATATATATATATATATATATATATATATATATATAGTTTGATCCTTGATGGCACCAAAAGCAAGGAAGACCGAACATGGTCTTAGAGAACAATCTGGAGCATATGTCCGAACAGATATCCATTGGTGTAGGAGTGCATATTAAATTATATACCATTTCTAAGTCACTGAAAGCAGTTCTTCGTTTCATCAAAGACAACGTTCACACTAGCATGATCTTACTTCTATATTATATTACACCAATAACTTCCCAACCAGTTCTTTGAGTTCAGTCATTTGTAATAGAAATAAATACCTGAGGGTTCTGCAAATTATACACTATAAGATTTCTATCAGCAGTTCCAACAACCATCAGAGGATATCTAACAGTAAGGGCATAGCAGCGCTCAGGAAGTTGTTGAACATGAGCAGGATTCGGCTGTCTCAAATCCCAATACCTGAAAGAGAAAACTAATTAGAACCATGATGGTGACCAAGGGAAGATTCTCCACTTTCAAATGAAAGAAAAACAAAAGGATGATTAATCAGGTTCACACAAAACTTCAGAAGGGATCATTAAAAAAAGAATAGTAACAGAAAGCCGATTAACACAAAAGTCTCACATCTGTTGAGACTAGCATGGGATCAAATGAAAATCAAGTGCAATTTTCAAAGGGCACAAAGTTCAGTAAACCCATAGAACCATTGACATATTTCGAAAAGCATGGAGATTATAACATTAAGCAGGAACACAAAACTTCAACGGCAATGCACACTAGGGGTATAGATGATGTCTGCCCAACAATACATGTGTCTTGAAAATGATCTAGTTATCTTATTCCAAAAGCCAGTATGCATGACGAACGATCAATCACTGAATATAGATATATCAAAATCCAAAGACAGGATATAACAAGTTCAGATTTCACAAATTCTAGTCATCAACATACAAGGAAAAATAACATTACACTGGAATATTATATAGTAATAGTACACAAGAGAAAATACACAACTGGTGAGTCCAATTAAAATTTTAAAAAGAGTTAAAATCAATGGCCACCTCAATGTCTTGTCCCAGCTTCCAGTTACCAACATGTTCATTTCAGGGACCCAAGCAATCTCCTTGATGGGGGCATCATGCATGGCCACTTGCACTGGCTGGCCACCAGATAACAGAGGCCACATCTTGGCTTGCTTATCACATCCTCCAGAAAAGACAGTAGTTCCATCGTCCTTCCACGTGGAGCACAGAACCTACCACACATTAAAACTGAAGGGTCAAGAAACAACCCAAAATCATACATAATTGGAGAACCATATAGCACAGGGATCAAATACATTACCGGTTGGTCATGCGCCATTGCAGCCTTAGGCACAGTACTAACATTGGTTCCAGACCGCATTACCTCCCAACATCTCACCTACAAGATGCAGCAGTATTGCTCACAATTTTAAGCTCCAGTCCCCAAAATAAAGAAAATTTTCCACCGCTCACACACAAAAGAGAGAGAGAGAGAGAGTTTATCTACAGCTACTGAGGCTTATGTAACAGAAAAACATAAGTCAATGGTGGCATCCCCAAAAGTTTATATCAAAATCGATTATTTCACCATCAAACTAAAAAGTTCAGGTGCACAAATCCTCCGTTTAGACATCAAAAACATTATTCCAAAACCTTTGAACAACTAATAGCAGGACTAACATTAAAACGTAAAATAGTAAAGCAACAACATTAATTTAAAAAAAAAGGAATTCTATGAATAAAGCATTGAATTGAAGAGGGAAACAGCTCCCACCTGATTATCCCAAGAAGTGGCGACAAGGAAGTTAGCCTTCGGACTGAAACAAAGGCTGGACACAGAATCACTGGGCGGTTGCACCACCTTCAATTAACACCCAACCAAGAATCTCAATGGTAATAAGTACAACAATAATAGCGAAAAGAAATAAAGGAAAGAGCAGAACAATAGGAAAAGAAAAAATCAACCTCAGCAGAGCGGTTGGGGTTGTAACTTGAAGCAGCTGCTGCTCCAAATGTCGCCATTAAAACTGGAGCATTACAACATACGAAAGGAATTAAAAATCAAGAAATAAAAGAAAACAAAAAAAAGGTCTTCATAAAATTGTATTACCATCAATAATCGAAAACAATCGCGAGAGCTAGTCCTGCAGAAGGAAGTAGAAAGCAATCTCGGTAGAGGAAAAAAGGCGTACCAAAAGAGTAGAGCTACAGCGGTGGAATGATGAACCCTAGAAGAAACCTCTAATTTGTAGGAAATTTTACTACAAGGAGAATTTCTCAGTACTAGGATTTTGAAAAGGAGAAGAGAGGGAAGTACAGGCAACCAGGCCCCGACAAAGGAAACTGAAAACTAGAAAAGTGAAAAGCGAACGAGACAGCGACTGAGGGGCGGGAGTGTATATATAGACGCCGCCTTGTACCTTCTTATTGTACTAGTAGCAGCAGCTCACAATGGCAGCAGCAGAAGTGTTTACAGACCGCGTTCCGGCCACGCTACGCCTTAGCGTAGAGAGAAAGCTAATGAGCCGAAGCGAAGCGGTTTACTTGAATTGCGACTGAGATCTGTTTCCCGGGTTGATTTTCAACTAAACTTTGCTCAACCCTTGCCCGACTCGAGTAAATTCCCAAAAAATGTAAAATGTGAGTTTCTAAATGTGGCGATTTTTGAATTTCATTCCAAAGGTGAAAAATGCATCAACAAAATGCATTCTTTTAAATTAAAATGCAATTTGTAAATACGTTATTTGAATTTTCACAAATTTGTTGAAATAGGAAAAAATTGGCTCAAGAAAGCATTAGCGCTTTTTGATGTACAGGTATATATACCTGACATATGGCTGGCACGAGTCCATTCTTTTTTTCTTTCCAGCCCCTCCCCCTTAAAATATATATATATATTTTTTTTAATGAAATGAGTTTATGTTTGTTATCCCTTTTTTCTTCTTCTTCTTTTTTGGGTTAAATATGAGAGGGACTTTGAATTATTAGATGCCAAATTCTTTTTTTTAGGCCAACTTCAAAAGATTATACTCATCAAAAGCCAAACTATTACCGATTATTATTCTATTAACCCACATAAATCTCATTTTCCCAGACTCCCCATCTCTTAAAACTTGGAATTGGGAGGAATTAAACCGATTTTAGATATATAGGTCAACCCAAAAAATATGTGTTAAAATTGATTAATTTATATTAAGCTTTTTCATAACCAATCGTGAAAATTATATTAACAATAATTAAGAAACAGTTGTATAGAGTTAAATTGTGCGTGTATTTAAAAATGTTTTTACACCAAAAAAATTTCCCATTTCCTGCGTCACATTTTCAATTACATTTTTACTTCAAATACATTAAATCATAAAAGTATTACCCTACTTATTATAGTGTTTGGACTTGGCAGCAAAGCAACTTTTGTATCCGTAAAGTTTCGAACACATTTTCACTTTGCACTTTGGATCTTAATTAGCCTTTTAATACACTAGTAGTATTTCGGTCCTAAGGATAATTAAGACGAAGCCATTGTAGGCATTTAACGCACAATGTCCATAGGCCATAGCTGCTGCACTAATCCCAATTTGTCCAGTACCTTGAGGCTCTGGGTCTGGGCCTTAAGTAGGGGTGGGCACGGGTCGGGTACCCGCCCCTAACATGATTTGGCTGACCCGACCCTAATATATCGGATCAGCCATTTTGCGACCCTAACCCGCTCCTAATATTTTCGGGTACCCGAATAGCGGGTACCCGAAAAAAAGGGGCGGGTCATAGGGTACCCGCCCCTAAAAAAAACTATTTTTCAATAAAAAAAATTTATTTTCTACTTAATATCAACATGTTTTTCAATAAAAAAAAACATGTTTTTCCAATTAATATTGGTAGAGATATTGTAATTAAAGTCCATACATCACCATTCTCACACATTTCATCCAATAATCAAATCGATCTCATAAATTTAGTACATATTAGAATATCTAATAGACAAAACGAAGTTTCATAATAATTTTGAGTACATCACCATTTTCACACATTTCATACTTTTACAACACAACAAACACAAGGATAATAAGTATTTGGTAACTTCCCCAAGGATAATATGGTACAAGACCGCGTCTCAAATAAGTCAATTGTGAAATCAAGTTCGGAAAAGAATTGAATAGAACTAATTATTTTTGAAAAAAATATAACCAAAATAATGTTAAAAATCTTCCCCAACTTCTTTACATCTTTGGAATAGACCTTATGGTATTAAGGTGATGAAAAAGAAAAATAAATTTCTTACACTAAATAAAAGAGACAAATTAAAGAGATATAATTGCAAATGAATGACACAAATATTTTAATTATCTAGCTAACAGAAAATTGAAACTCCAAACAAAAATCTTTGATTGAATTGATGCAAGATTTGCAGGAAAGATCGATGGAGGTAGAATAAAAATAAAAAAGATGAAAGGGATGAACAATTTTTATAACAGAGTTTCACAAATTTTTTTTTCATTTTGTTCATGTTTCACCGAGAATATTCGCTTTCTTCAAAAAAAAATGAGAAGAGTAGATCAAATAGGATTAGAATATGAGGCTGCGAGCCACTTCACTTGCGCTTAGAATTAAAAATTACAAAATTATAAAATGATCCCTACTTTTTTAATATTTATAAAATATACCCTGCGGGTCGGGTACCCGCGGGTTTTTATTTTTCTGATCCGTATCCGTACCCGATTTTTCGGGTACCCGACCCTCATCTGCCCCGCTAAGAAAAATCGGATCGGGTATCCTATTTTTCGGATCGGATCGGATCGGGTTCATCGGGTTTTCGGATCGGCGGGTTTTTTTGCCCACCCCTAGCCTTAAGTCTGTTAACCCTAAGAAAGCTCATTTGGTTTACGGCTTGGGCTTAATTTTGCAGGATTATTTTTGGCTCGAAATGAGCAATAACTTCTTCTTTTTTTCAAAAAAAAAAAAAAATCAGTATCTGCGGTGTCATCTAGTTAATAATTATCGGATCTTAAGAAAATAAAAAAAATTAAAATATAATGTTTATGAAGGAGAAATAGTAATATAATAAAAAGTGTGTGAGAGAGCATGCAACACAGAATGTGAGACAAAAAATCGGTTGTGTGATTTTTTACCTGCAGTTTCAAGTTCTACAAGCAAGCATTGGGGGTTAAGAACAATCAACAGTGCGAAATGTTGAAGAAATGTACTGCAAAACACCTCACACGTTGTAAATTGCAATTCACAAGTTGTAGAATTAATTGTTAATAGCCAAATTAATTTCCTATAGTAATTGGTGGCATTATGCAAAAAGTTACTATGTATTGGCAATGAATGATGTCTGTCCGCACAATTTGTTAATAAAACTAGCAAAGAGTCCCACGCAACGCGTGGGAGTTGATACCTGTGTTGTGAATAAGTAGTTAGAGTAGCAATTAACAAATTTGTAATATTCAGTTGAAAAGAACATGGGACAAAGTAAAAAAGAACTGTCAATATGTAATACTCTAAATTCAGTCTTCTAAATATATAAAACTCATCATTCATAACAAGTGAGTGGTTTAATCGATAAATTCACCGTGAAATAAAGCATGATTTTGTATAGAATAAAAAATATTGTTTTCTTAAAAATGAGGGAACCTAGTACTGAAAAAAAAAATAGAGGAGATCAAGGCTACAAAAGTGAAACAGGTGCATCGCACTCTCATAAGATGAATAATAATAAGTTGAGTTTTCAAATGTATAAATTACCTGTAAGTAGTTGCACACCATACCTGGAACAATATCATCAGCTGAACCAATGATTATAATAGGAAATTTAGGATGAAAACACATGGCTCAAATACCATGGCCTTCAAGCATTCGGAGACAACTTTTGGCTTGATCATCTCACAGCTGATTGGAGTAAGACATGAAAAGGAGATCAGAATTGTATATAAATTTAAACTATTTAATGGATCTTAAGTATATAAGGATATGAAAAGCAAACCTTAATAGTGGGATCATCATATCCAATGATTAGTTAAACCTGCGTCTACCAGGACTGAAACAATTAAACAAAAGCAGATTCCAAAAAAAAAAAGATACAACCCATTGATATCTTATCATACATATATAACAATGCTAACGTGGAAAAAAGAACATCGGATTTTTGAATCAAAGAACTTAAATAACAAAAAACAAACTTTTCAAATCTAATCAAGGAATATAAGAAGGAGAAGGGTAGCAAAAAAAGCATACCTTCACGAAGGGTTGAAATGGAAACCACAAGGAAAGGAAAGAAAAAGAGTAACAACATGTGGTATGAACCATAACCAGTTGAACCAATGAGGTTTTATATTAACAACCCTCATTATTCCAACTACCTCAAAAATTTGCTCAACAAATGCTACTGAAGAGGAAGAGTTTTGCAGTTACACTTTAAAGATGCTTTCCAAGAGATTCCTCATCTCTCATGCATTACTCCTATCTTTAAGATGTCATAATTGCTCATTTTGATCATCCCACTCTTTGTATGAGTTCAATTGCACATGCAGAAGTTCAAGAGAGGAAAACGTCTACAGTTACACCTCCACTATAGAGTAGTCAATTAATCATCATCTTGATGCGTTCATATGGTCTTAATGATACTTCAGTTACTGAATTCAATTAATCCTACTCTTTGCACAAGTTTAAATTCCAAATTCACCCAACTACCTCTTTGTCTTAAAAACAAATTTAACGGATGGTTAAAAGGGTAAAGCTGTCACTACTGCTACATAAGCTTAATTTGAGAATGTAATCATCATGCCACCAAGGGTACGCTTATCAACTCACATAGCAATAAGCATAGTATGCTTGCACTCGAAACTGGATCAGTTGTACTATACCAACATGTTACCTAAATTACCCCTAAAAAAGTCGGATGAAAAACAACGAACAGTCAAATACCAACTCCTTTTTATATATATATAGGACATTTTTGTAGACTAAGCTTGCAGTCATGCCTGGCCACAAAAATAGTTGTTGTCTCCGGCAACACTCCTTATCTAATTCCACAATTGATGAGGAAGTAAAAATTCAAGAAATTGTTGCATGGCGTCGCGTCAGTTCCCTTGAATAATTTTACCACAAAGTTTCCGAGAAGGTTACCAACGAGGAAGTTCCAAGGCTAGTGTCTCCCCGTATAAGAAGATTTACTCCTACCAAAAAGAGACAAGGAAAATAAATTGATCGGTACTTCACCTGATAATACTACTAGCTATTTGAGTATGATAATTTTACCAGTCAACTGGGCTGGAATACTTAGCTACGCACGTCCACCTTAATCCTTCAACTTCTATCTATGGTTCCTTTTCATTTCTTTTTTCTTATTTCGATTTGTGACAAAGCTATTGACCAAGACGCATGGCCAACAACTTTATAATATATTCAGTCTGGCGATCAGGGAGTGATATATATATGTATATATATAGATGTAGGCCAAGGAAATGGGCATGGAGATGAAGAAAGTTAAGGTGGGTGGGGACGATAGAAAGGCTACATATGAAGAAAAATCATACTTGCTACAATTTCAGTATTCGGTTAATCAAGTAGCTAGGTACATG